TTATACTTTTTATTGTGAATATCTATTGATTCTTCAGCACTTATCTCTGTTGGTGATATCACTTCCATTCTGTCATGTTGACGATTCAGTAACAGCATATCACTTTCATGAATATGTTACATTTGTCGTTGCTCTGGTTCATTTAACGATTATTCAGTTAAAGAATAGATTTATATCTAGAATAAATAAAGGGGTCTGTGTAGAAGTGGAGGCAATTTCAATTAGTTCCATAAAAACGCGCAACAATAACACACGCACACACACACACAAATAAATTATATTTACTAACAGAGCGTGTAAACTATAGCAGGGTTTCTGAACGAAAATTCTTATTCATTTACTCTTTCGTAGATAGCTACACCAACGCCTGAAAAAAACTAAATATGGAATGATTTCTGCTGTTGTTCTTCCCATTGTAGAAGGAAGGTCTATCGGTACAACTGAATTGCAAGTAGACAATGAATATGATGCATTCTGCAAATACATACACCTTAAAATATTTTACTTCCATGATCATCGGAATTCGATGTGGACAAACTATGTGAGCAGCTGGCATTCTGTTTCAGTGAACTTCTATTTCATGTGAAAATAACACGATTAAATCAATAAACCAAGTAACAAAGAGAATATATAGCAAAACAAAAATATACGAGCACTAGTAATCTGGAAATAGATCAAGTAAGGAAAATAAATACATATAGGAGCGCAAAAACATGATGATTTGATCTGATATCTACACTGCACATCAAAATAGTTATAGAAATGAACATCTCAATGAATTGATGACGTTATCTCTATTGTATCAAAGTTTAGCGGTTGTGAACATGTGCTATTGTGTTGTTCCTTTTCAACTGATTGCGCTTCAAGCACAAGATTCCTTCAAGATTTTTATCGGGGGTACGAATATGTTTATCCACCTGAAATAAAATTTTTAGAAAGCAAGTGAAAAATAGTTGTTGTTTTCTATTTTTGATATAGACTTTTTACCTGACATTGTTTTTTTCTCTTAGTGCAGATGATTTTGTTGAAGTAGCATTCGACGATGAAGATGACCAGACAAGAGAGACAGTAAATATCATCACATTATAATCACAGATATGTTTTCTTTTAAATTTACTTGAATAGATGATGAATGTTGCTGATCACTATTTTCTTGTTGTACAGAAACGCTATCTAGAAGAATCGAAAATAAAGTCGACTGAAAATGAAAGATTAACTGCTTACTATTAGTGGTTGTTTCCTTTCGATATTGATCTTGTGAAGACTTTGACATAGTTTCTCAAAAAAGATTTACATATTATAGAAGATATCTGCAATAACAAGAAGGAATGCAAGTGAAATAAAAGAGCTATAGATTTCAGACGTTTGTATTTATCTTGATTCAGATATTCCATGAAAAAATACAAGCGATCAACCTAAAAGGCATGGAAAAAAGTTTTTTCTTCTTTCAGATTTAGCCCATAGAATCTATTTATAAATTTAGGATCAAGATTATGACTCCTATTGCTTTTTTCTAGGCTTTTTTCGAGGAACTCGTTGAACGTGAAGACTGTATGTTATGTAACATATTATCAGTATCAAATATTGATCCAACACCACGTTATTGCTGTAGTATATTATCATGCCAATTTTTGAAGCCTTTTTTTTATGTCGATATCATTTATTTGATGTAGTCTTTCTGATGCAAGAAGTTCATATGGTATCAATTCTTTTAATTGACTCTTAGCATTATCCCATGAAAATCAAAGATTGATTGAATTAAAGATCACCTTTAAAACTGATTTTATCAACCAGAATAATGTAGAGCTCTGATACGGCAAATGATGTATTTCAATCAATAATAGTATTATTTCTTGTTGTATAATAATCATGCTCTGTGTCGATAGTAAATTCAGTTGTTTTTCCGACTAGTTCACTTAAATTATGCAAAAGGATAGAAGATGTTGATCGATTTATAAGATAAATTTTATAATTATTTAAGCGAGTAAATACTGTTAATATAAGTAAGCCAGTATTTAGTTGACTTTTTCGAAGAGCTCTTCTTTGTAAGAAATAATAATAAATAATTTCTTTGTTGTTTGATGAGGATGAAGTGGTCATTGACGTTTTATAAGAACAAAAATGATAATCAGAAATTGGTCTAGAAAATGTTCCATAGCAGTTTTCTATTATAAGAAAGTCTTTTAAATCAGCAAAAATACACAAATCAATAGACAGTATTTTTTATTTATATCTAATATCAACATCGTAGATTTTACTGATACATATATTCAAAAGAATCCATGATACCATTGATTTCTGGTTAGATAATAGAACATTTAAAGAATGTACGTTTATCGTCATTAGTAGAATTTTGCACTTCTGTATTGATAAATTTGGATGATGATTGAATTGATATCTTACACCATATTCATAAAGATAATTCAGATGAGCCAATTGATCCTTATCATCAAATTGTGGAAGTTGATCAGAAAGTTCGTGTTGCATCTTATTACAATTGAACCAGTTATGACGAAATTTGTCATACATGATTTGATCTCTTGAATAACGCATTGAATGAAGATGAAAAAAATAAAAAACATGTTACACATGAGTTTCAACAAATTGTAATGAATAAGCATCGGTAAGATAAGCTAATTTAAGATAAATACGCTCGCGATTAAAATCTTTGACTGACGAACAATAACAAACAGCTCGAATTAAAGCTGATCGAATGTAATCACTGCCCTGCCATAAATATGTTCTCTCTTTTTTCCTTTAGTTTCATTCCATCACGCTTACAATCATTCCATTCTTCTTCTCATATCTATTCTATTTAAGCCAGTGTTAGTGTTTGAAGAAGGAGATTATTATTTCTTGTGATAATGTAAAAAGAAGAAGATTATAATCGATTAACGACTAACATAACACAAGCAAGTGCTAATATCTCAAATTTACAAGTTCAACTAACTACTTATTGGACTCAAATTTTAGCCAGTAGAATAAATTCTACGATATCAACCGCAACAACAAATTCGAATCGTATTCGAGAGTCTGATGACAGATTAAAAAAGTTTATATTTAAATATATTCGAAATTGTACTCAACATTTTAAACGAATGGCTAAATATAAAAAGCGTTAGAACTTTTTGGATGAATTGCTGTTCCAACTCAATGGAATACTCATTTTATTGTAAAACCAAAAATTATCTAGCAACAACAAAACGTGTTGAGTATGATTTACCTCCAAAATTTATTTCAAATATTGATTTTTGCATTTAAACTCGATGAATCAATATTAAATAAAGATGAAGCTCAAACATTATACAATCAAATGCGTCAATTAACTAAACATTATCGTACTCAAGCGATGTCGTTGTATTTACAATCTACTATACTCGTGAACAAGAAATACTTACAAATGAAATTAAACATATTATTGTAGGTTTTTCGAAAGAAGAAAATATAATGAAATAATTGATGCGGAAGATGATTCAGGTTATCTTGAATTTAAACATTATAATGAATTACATGAAAAACGATATAATTTAGAAACTGAACAATCTCTTTATTTTTTAGAGGCAGAGCGAGCCAAGGGCGAATTCAACGAAAAAGAAGAAGGAATAACCTATGTGTAAAAAGTCTTTGCACACAATTCTATTTAGCCTTCCATTTCAATAGAGTAGTTTTATTTTTTATTTTTCACAACAATAAGTAGCATCAACAATGATGTTTACAAAATCAAGAAGAACAAGCATGGTAAGATCCTTTATCTGCAATTTTACGAAGTTGCTTCTGTATACCCAAAAACATTGATTGTACAACTTTCATATCAAGTTCTTTTTATTTTTTATTCATTCTTCTCTTCAATTGATCGACTGTTTTTGCTTCCCAGCCTCCTTCGTATACCATAACACTTAATATTGATCATAAAGTTTCAATTGCACGTGACTCTGGGCAGTTTTGAGGATTCCATTCTTTATGAACCATTTGCACCTCATTATCATCGAGATAATCCATCACCTTGTGACTGTAATGGTTTGTAGCCAAATCAGGCCAAAATAATACTTTTTCTTTGGTATGAAACCTCTGGATGAATGGTATCAAACGTGCTTTAATACAATTCCTAAAATATGCTTCCTGGTTTACAGCTTGCTTTTGTTTGGAAAAGAATAGCTGTGAAACGCCATTCTCAGGCACTATGCTGCGATGACGAAATTGTGCGGACTGTTGGAAACAACGATCTGCCAGAGCAACATTTTTGAATAAATGAATTTATCCAGAGCTACTGTTAAGAAGCATATTGTATGGTGATTCTCTTTTTCTCAATAAGAGATGATGCCTATTCCTATGATGGTGAAACATATCATTCTCCGTTAAAAAAAATATAAATGCTCAACAATGACGGATAAAACTGGAAAAACACAATCACTACTAACATTCACATAATTGTGAAGAATCAGCTTGCAAAAAAGAAGTTCATTCGTTTATATTCTCCTGAGTTTATTGAATATTGAGAGTGCTACTCACCGAAAAGTGATATTCGGGAAAACGTAATTTGATTTTATAGTGCATAAACAGATTGTTCTCATTGGAAAAGATGACATGAGCAACCTATTAATCGTCTTAATTTTCAAGAAAAGAAGGAATTTAGAAACAAAATGACTTTGTCTTTTGAAACATGGTATTTGACTACACGTTATTTCGCATAGATTCGTACAATTTCTTCATCGCAATATGTATTTAATCAGTATAGATCATTTACCTCTTGGTCAGTTGTAATAAACAGGTTTATTCGTGAAGATGCAGAGTACGAAATCATTTTTCCCATGTAGCCGATTTTACGAAATAATGGATATTGCAATGCATTATTTTCCTATAGAGATGCAATGAATGCAATTACATGATAATGCAACCTATTTAATGCATTATAATACATTAGGATGAACAGTGCATTGCAATGCATGGTTATATCATTGCATTGGAATGCGTTATGTACAAATAATTCATTATAATGCATTAAATAGGTTGCATTATCATGTAACTGCATACATTATTATATCTAATGCATTATAATTCATTGAAAACTTCATATTCGGCACTTGCTACGCAAGATCTATATAATCCTATTAAATCGATATTCTAATCATGATAATGGTACCTCTGTGGTTCTGCACATCTATTCCCTTAACTTAACCCTTTACCTTAATCTATCAACTTATCTATATCTATCCCCTTAACCGTAATTTATTAACTTATATATATCTATTCCCTTAACCTTAATCTATCTCTCTAACTTAACTTTACCCCTTAACATTCATCGACCCTCGCATATATATATATATATATATAACGTATCATTTTGATCATACCGATAAGAATCTAAAACAAAAGACAATTAATGAATAAATTTGTTTATTATTATTAAGTTCGAACTTACCATTTCAAGCAGATCGATAAGAGCCTAAAACAAAAGACAATGAATACATAATTTTATTATTATTGAATTCAAACTCACCATTTTAATCATGTCACATTGTAGTCGAAACCGAGAACAGTTCAAGAACGTATAGATGATATACAGCTGTTTCAATAGTATCAAAATGCTTTCAACATTGGAAAAGAAATTAATTCATAGAGGGAATAATGCTTAATCGAATCGGTTATAGTTGATACTGTGAGCAGTTTTAGTTTACTATATGCATCCGAAACTCAGCTATGACGAAGAGGGAAAACTTCTTTTGAGAGGTTTGAGCACTGCGATCTCTATCATTCTACAGAATATTCTAAAAATATTCAAAGGTCTAGTAGCCTTTTTTGCATCAAATAGAAACTTGAGATCGGATTTCGGTTCGTTAGTACACATTGTCGCGATTGAGTAAACTCGGAAACTCTTAGGCTTGCCCGGGGAAATATTTTGGAAACTGAAAGGGTAATCTGATATACCTAATTAGATTTTCACTCGAGTATTCAATAGTGTAGGTTTACTTGAATACCCTAGTGATTTCTGAAAATACGACTAGATTTCCATTAGCGGGGAAAAGGGATTCAAAATATACTCTGAGCGCTGTAACTCAGGTTACAGTTTTTATTAGTTCTTTAACTTGCGCGACTCTTATTATTGAAAAGCGCCTGATACAGAGAAAGCTGGGTTAAATCAAACATCTACCTGTCAAATTCCTTTTTCAATATCTCTTTTACGAAAATGGTGAATTCTCTGGCTTAAAAATATTACTCTAAATAATGCATTGAAATGCATTGAAATTTTACTGCTTCTCAAACCATTTTCACATTATTAGAAATAATGCATTAGGTCATGAGTTTTTTCAAATAATGGAAAATAATGGGTCATTTTCCCATTATTTATCCATTATCGGCTACATGGGTTGTCTCTACTCTTTTCATACAAGAAGGCTCGCTTCACAAAGAACGTGTAATTCCCATAGAAATGATTAGATTGCTAAAGATGACATTCGCGTGGTCAACGAATGCAGTAATACTTGTCGTGCCGTAAATTTCTTGCATTTATGAACTAATAGCTTAAATTTTTGTTGTAATTACTGATTTGCAAACCCCATGTGAGCAGTCTATTCGTATGGTACATTTTGTGCTTTAGTCTCTAATTGATGAATATCACTCAATTGAAGTGATATTAATATCCATGTTTTTATTTAACGAGTTCTTTCAGTCAACACAGTACATTAATTTTTGTTGGCGTTTGTGAAGATTTTTCATTGCAAATTGAATATTTCTCCGCAAAACTCACTGATTTATCTCGTAACCCTTAAATAAACCACTTCATAAACATAATAAGCATATTTAAACCATCAATCGGGCATTATTTAAAAAAAAACTTTTTGAATAGCTATGTTTGTTCAAGACATTCCGTATATTTGTTTATATCCCTTAATGAAAAATATCTAATATTCAAATGTGATATTTTTAAGAGCTTCAACTGGTAACGTACCCTGCGCCTTCTGCTTACATTCATTTCAAAGTTTTTAGTATCAATCGAATATAAACTTCGAGCTAAACATATAGAATTTCATGATATCAATTTTATTATTCTCTTGAAAAGGAATAAACAAGAAGTAGAGGGATGGTATTTATTTTATATTAAATAAGATGATGGTTCAACTTGTTCGTTCATTTTATACACGAATTAGAACTGATGAACGGTGAAACTAACTGAATGATTGAATTGTTTTTTTCTTTGACAACTCAAAATTGATCGATCCTTTCGTATGTGGTGGTGAAGAAGATAAAAGTACTTCCTCGTCGTAGCATTAAAAACAGCCAAATAATTGTACTGGATTTAGAGTTTATGCAACTGCCGTTTCAATCAAATAAAAAGCGCTCTTCTTTTCATTTGATGGGACGAAAATTCTGAAATATAAAAATAAACTGTGCGTCTCTGTAGATGCGATTTATCGGATCATTATGATCTGATTCAGAAAAATATTCAGAAAACTAGAGTATTCTCTATGAGTCTTTACTGAGTAGGCGAAAATAGTTCGACATGATTATTTTAAAACTTACACTTGGCGCTTAATTATCATTAGTCATTCAATGAATCCTCGTATCGAAAAACTTTGTTTACCACGTCATCGACGTGATGCTGTTTGGAAATTTTGGCAACCAAGTATTCGCTATTTTCTCATTCAATAGCATGCAATGGAATATCAATTATTTCTTTTTAGATGCTAAAATGGAAAAAATTCATCCACCTCTATTTTGGAAAACACTAGATTATAAAAATATTCAATCAAAAAAGACAACTAAACTTAAAAAATCAAAAAATGAATATTCATGTTTAAATGCATGTAATTATACAACATTAGTTTATAGAAATGCATCGAATGAAAAAGGATTTCATGTATTTGCTGACTTTGAACACGATGGCTTACAGCATGCTACTTGGAAACAATCCACCGAAGAATACTATGTATCTAGAGCTGAATTAAAAAACAAAAATGATAAATTATCCATCATAGAATTTCCATGGCTAGATTTAAATAATAATAATAATAAACATCATTTTTTCAACAGTGAATATTTAAAACGACAAGAACTTGGTCGATATTTTAAAACACATCGTGAAAAAGATAATTTATTTGAATTAGATAAAAGTTCATATCCTAATCGGCCTATACCAATGTCACGTCGTCCACAAGATGCTCTTCATATTGATTTTTATCCATCGGCACAGTTTGAAGGATCAAAAACTGAAGCAACATTTAAAACATTTTATCATCGAAAATATCTAGTAAAAGAATTTAATAGAATTCCTGAAGTTTTCTCTGTTGTTTTCTTTATTCCATCAGTTACCTCAACATTTACGTGAACATACAATAAAGAATCTTATTGACATAGGAAAATATATTCAACTTGAAATCGATATAATCGGTCATTTTGTTTTGCATCCAGTAAAACTTTTCAATTATATTCTTACAAAATAAAATTCATCAAACTTCGTTTTTTTAGAATGAATTATCAAAGCATGAAATAAAAATGTTTGATTTAACATCTGAATTTGGTGATCTATATGAAGGTCATATTATTCGAATAAACAAAGAAAAACTTGTTCTATTGCTAGCTTCGACATATTATTCTGACGTTAACCTTGCACAATCAGAAGATCTTGAACAGATAATTAATAATTCAATAGCGTTTGATACCAAAATAAATTCTGTATGTGTATCGATATTCGATTTTTAGTCCTATCATATATTCTCAATTTCTAAAGTCATCGCTCTCTATTTGCTCTGCTAGTCTGTTGAGTTGACATCAAGGCAAAACTCTGAATTACAATTATGAAAACGAAAACATAATTTTTTTATCTATTAGCAATCAACATTAGAACAAATTGTTGTCGATCATGTTCGAACGTATTTACAAACAAACAATAATTATTCTATTTCACAAATACGACGTATACAAATCGAATTAGAACCCTTGATGAATCAAGAAAAACGTCAAGTTAACGTTCATCTAATCGCCGGTGAAGATATTATTGAAACATTAACTATTGAGATAACACGTGAACAAGAACCCAAACTATTTGATATTCAATATGAAGACAGTCTTTATTTCTTACAGAGTATAAACGAACAGAAAATGATTCATTCTGTTGAACGTAAACTTAAACAATTATATGCTAAACGCTATTCTCTTATAAAAAATGAAGAAAATCATTATTCATATTTACAATTGACATTAGACATGGAATACGATACAATAAATAGTATTGAAAAAATGTTTTATGCTTATGTTAATCATACATTAACAAAATATTCACGTGATGAATGTATGCGTATAGCAATTGAGTATAGTTTTGATGATTTGTTAGACGAACTTGATTCTAATGAAATACAACCGATTAACAATAGACAACTACAGATGATGACTGATGATGTACAAGTGCGATTGCGATTACAAATAGAGAGACGTTTAGTATGATTTCAAATTCGAAATAGTTTGCTTTCTAAATCTTGAATTATCTGATTTTTATAGAAAGCTGAAACGACAGCTAAAATTCTTTTGATGGGCCCATCGATGAAAACTTCTTTAGAGATTGAAGCCGTGGGAAAAGAGGTGGTCGTCTTGGATCATCATCGAGAAATCTTTATCAGCAAATCAAATACTCATATTGATTCAGTTAAAATCCAAGATATGCAGTATTAAAGTTTTTTTATTTTCTGTTCAAGCTCTGTTTTTTTCAACCAATTTCATAGACGTAATAATGGTAAAATTATTTTTCATGAGGAAATTGAGGGCGGACCAACAAGTTTCGATCGATTACCAATGAGCATTGATTCATTAACAATATTAACGCGTATTCAACAACGAAAACGTTTAGCACTCGAAGAGAATGATAATAATGTGGTTTTACTCGGAAGTGGTGTACATCGTTTAGTTACATGTGAAGATCCTAAACCAAGAGTTTCATTTTCTATTGATTGTGAACAGAGTAAAACGGAGAGGAAATCATCCCCACATTTACATAAAGGTGTTTCAATTGACGAACATGGTGAAAATAGTATTGAAACATTTGATACTGTTTCGATTAATACGAAAAGTTATAATACATCAGCAAATACTCGACAGCAACGCTTTTTCGAAGTAGTTTCTTCTAAATTTTAATTAGAAAAGAAATTTCTATTCTAATATTCTTTTACAGTCATGCCAAACGAATGAAGATAATCAACAAGCGAGAAAGAAACGAATGTCTCGATCACCAGCTGAATATGGAAAACATCGACAAAAACGAAAAAAACGTAAAGAATATCAAGCAACATCGGAAACAATTACTCATAATACTAGTTCAAAAGAGTCATTTTTTAATAATCTACTTTTACTACAACAAAGTAAAATAATGAAGTCAATAGTTTCCATAAAAAACTGTGATCGCAAGCAAACATATGCTCAGCAATCAAATGCTAAAACTGAAAATAGTGAAACGGAAGGTTTTACACTGAAGAGTCGCACAAGACTTGAGAATAATCGTTTTATGAAATCAGCAGAAGATCTATCGCGTAATTTTTTAAACATTTTGTTAGATTATAGATGATATTATCTTCATTTTAGAAATTAAGGAAGTGATAGACGATAATAAAACTCGCAGGGACAACCGTATAAATCAAGCAACATCACTGAAATCATTGCATGATAATAGAGAGAGACAAGATCCATATGTCAATGAATTCTTCGATATTTTGAAGAATGAAACTCAATATTCATCAAATATTGATCAAATAAATGACGAAAGTTTTCAAGATAACGGTATACTTAAAATTCTAAAAAAAGAGAACTATCGAGTGTTTTGATGATTTAGAAGATGATGGCGATGATAGTAAAGAGAATTATAATACAGAACGTTATTTACGTTCGCTTTATGGTTCTTTATCTACTACTATGAAACAAGTCGACGAAATGTATCAATCAAAATCATCTCGACTCAGGTAGATACATTTTATAGTCGACTATTAATAAGATAAAAAATTGATTTGTAGGTCATCATTGGATTTAGCCAACATTTTTATCAACTTTCTTCATATACGAAAAGATATTGCCTATGAAATTGCCTCGGCAATTATTGATGCTCGTCAACATTTAATTGAATTTCCGCTAACAGAAAAATCTTCCTCGAGTACCATGTTTGATGATGCATCGATTAGTTCAAGTATAGTCACGGCTGAAGATAGTGATACAGCAATGAACGAAAGTAGTTATACATCAAGGAGTATGTCTAAGGATGCTAAAAATCAAAATCATCTCAAAAAAAGAAGATCTAATCCAGCAAAAAACAAAATAACTTATTCATCAACTTCACAACGTGTAATGAATCGAATAATTACATATTTATCAGAAGTTGATTGGAGAGTATTTAATTATATTACGAAACATTTCTTACAAAAGAGTATGCCTTTATTGCGGATAAAAAAATCTGTAGATTTTTTTACGCTAGGTACTATGATTACTAGGCATGCATTAGAATTTTCATCGGCATTATTAATAGATCTCATGTAAGTTTTAGAATAAATAGTGTACTGCTTCTATCCATACTCTTCCTTGTAGAGAGGATAGTGTTTATCAAATATATTTTCATTCAAAGTGGTGTTCAGATACTCATCTGAGTTCACGTGGTACAATGGAAACAAATCCAATTGAAAGTCTACTTGTCGAAGAGTTTTTCAAGAAATCTCTCTGCTATCTGTTCAATCGTCTTCATCGGATCGAATCACCACTATTGGAATCTATTGCTCTAATGCAAACGTTAAAAACATATACGACTACAAGTCTTCTGAAAGAGTTTGCGTCTATAGAAAGTCATGCAGTGCCAATAGGTCTTGATCCTTGTATTTGGTTTTCTACTAGTAAGGCTTGAAGAATTGAAACATAATCTTTCTTACGATATGTAATTGAATAGATCTACTCATAAAAACTATTTGTTCGTTAACCGATGATATTTTGAAACAAATGAATCGCGAATATTTATCGGATCATACAAAATTTGAATATGTGTTAATATCTTATTTTCGTAAAATTCAAATAGTCAATAATCTTCAAGATATTATCGAAATCAATAAAGATTTGGCAAAATCGAAATCTTCGTCTACACTATCTAACAACAAATATCTTTTACATATCATTGATTTGAATCAAGCACCGAAATTTTTTTCTGACCAAGCTTTTAAACGATTTAAATTTGGTGGACAAAGCCAATTAAATGACGATATAGAAGTACTCAAAGATTTAGTTTTACTGGATATTAAAAAACATGTAAACTCCTTGGTTATTGTTAAACATAATTTGTATATAAAATATTTTTGTTTCATAGAATATTAAAACAATAAAACGATCGTATGTACCTCTAACTATGAACGATCTAGTGGTGCATCAACAGAATCGTGTATTGTTTCCATCACCTTGGCTTTTAGCTCAATATCAGCAACGATTAGAAGCACAAAACAAAACATCGATCAATGAAGATCATCTACGAGAAAACTCATATCGCTTTGATGAAATAAATGATTTTGCAAAAACAGACAATCTATCAGCAGATGTTCGAACTCTTTTGGATAATATAATCAGGAAGTATGCTACTGTCGAAGAGAACCTTGGAGTGTTAAGTCATCGTGAAGGTTTATCAGAAGAAGATTTAACACAGTTGATAGAAAATGCGATTGAAGCTGTTCAAAGATTTGATCGTGAAAATAATATTGGTGATCGAAAGTTACAAAATAAAAAGACAATCAATAATCGACTGATTGAATTTTTTAAATATGCTGGACGACACGGAGTATGTATTTACATTTGTGTAGAAGAGGCATCATCGGTATCTACTTTTTATCCATGATAGGTGCGTTTACTCGATGATGTCTTAAAATTAGCAAAACTGCGTTCGAATGATCCTAAAAAATATATTCCTCTTGCTGTTAATATGTTTAAAGAGCGTCTAAAATCAACTGGTGGGACCCGACCACGAAAACAAACTGTTCGCTTTGCATACACACTAGAAACATTGTTTATGGCAACAAATGATGAGCCAGCATTGATTGCAAAAATGTTGAGGAGAAAAAGTGACGAAAATAAACCGTTAACTACTGAACTCGATTCATTACAACAGATTATAGAAAAAGAGGACAACAAAAAGATTGATACATCATTCATTGAATTGGAACCTGGTACAAACACTCCACCATATTCGACAGAACTATTCACAACTGGCAAATACCGACAAAGTTTACCAACAATTGATGAAACAGCTGAGTTGACTCTATCATCAAATATTACAGAAGACGTTGACAGACCATTTTATTCTGAAGGTGTGTTATCGAGTACAATCATGTCACAGATTGGTCTTACGGTCGCTCAGTTGATAGTTCTCATTACGGGACACAATGAAAAACCACTACAACTAACCAATACTCAAATTGAACAGTGAGTAATACATCGATCAGTGCCGTATGCTCTCTTATGTTCATGGATTGGCATATCAGAAAGATTGTTGAAAATATTGGCCAAAAATTCGTTTTTCTCCAAGAGTTATTGTTCTACTAACGGGTGGTACGAACTTTTCTGGGCAAAATGTTTGTTCGTTTTTTACCGACTTGAAAATATTCAAGACAAGTGAAACTGCATGAGTTAGAACCAGGATTCAATGCCCTTTCCGAATATTGGCCTAGAAATTTGTTGTCTATTTTTGACCGAGAGTAGCGATAGAATTTTGTTAAGGTTGCGAGGAACTTCTTTCTGAGTAGAAAGCTCTCGGTGTAAAGTGAATTTTGTATTGTAGATCTTGCTCTGCAAGCTGACATACTGATAAAGGCTCTGACTTTCAGTTTCGGACCCCAGTAATGAAAATACAAAAATCTACAGAAAATTTTTCCGTCCAAACTAATTTCAAAGATTCCTCCACTGCTCTGGGGTAAAATCAAACAAAAGTTTTTGAGCCCATATTCGAAAAGAGCATCAAATTTTGGTTCTAACTCATGCATTTTCAATCGTATCGAGTACTTTCAGGTGAGTAAAAAATGAGCAAACATTTTGTCCAGAAACTTTCGCCCTTCCCGGTATTAGTATATCGAACTATAATTTCTCATTGGAAGAATGTACTCATCAATAGATGCCGTAAAATCGCGCGTACATTTCATATTATTATACAGTAGTATTTAACCCTGGCAGTATACGATGAAACGGAAAAAAAACCGTCTACATAAGAGTATGTGTGAGCTATTTTTGTATTCCTTTCTAGTTTGAAAACAGTGATTGTTGTTTATACAAGAATTCTATTTAGAACACACCCACCATACTATTAGAGTATACAAAATTCGTTGGCTGTTGATTGCTTATATAAGTATCCGACATCGCGAAAATTTACAGAGTATTTTACCCGGTGACGAAATAATACGAGTTACACGCGTCTCGAGCAATTTAATCGAGGTGATCCAGAGGCATAGCTCTTTTATGAAAATTGTTTTTTTAAAAGCGTTCACCTCATCAACTACACATGCTCTGCAACCACTAGACGTATTTTTTACAACGAACGCCTAAGATAGCTTGTATACTCTATATTATATTAGAAATTCTAAAAGTAATCAGTACTCAATTTATCTAACATTTAATGAAGGCTGGTGCAGCAATTATCGAAATTGTGATACTGCCTTACTCTAACTAACAAAACCTTTGAATACTTTTTTTTGTAGACAATAGTACTCCTATGTCAATGGGAATTTTATTTTCTCGATAACCTACTAGAATGTTGTTGTTAAATAGATTATTTTTAACACGAACTTAATAAAATATTTGCTTATGATTCTCTCTCTCTCTCTCTTAAATGAGCGAAACGATTGCTCTTTTGAGGTAATTTATTGTTTTCCTTCACTTCTAGTCATAGTTGGAATACATTTTATTGTCTCTTTGAGGAGGTTGGTTGAGATTGTTTTACTTCTAAAAACAAAACTTAGAATATCAAACGGTTGTGTCTCATTCCAGAGTCCAATAGTATCGGCAAATATGAGAACCTTAGAATCATGCAATGATAATTTCATTTTAATTCGAATAGAATATGTGCCAAACAAGATCTTACTACAGCACCAATCCAAAGCTATTTACAAAAATTACTGGAAGAAGTTCAACTAACGGATGAATTTAAACTCACCGAAGAACAATTAATTCAAATTGCTATCGAAGAAAATATCTCACTCGCCGACGGTATAAAATTAGCTTTCTCTTTATATTTTGCTGTTTTGATTAGATATTAATGAAGGAGTTTCAGCAAAAATGAGGAAAAACTTCTTTTTTTTCAAATCTCAAAAACAGAACATCTGTGAATTCATTTACGTTCCTGTATTTAGTTGAGCGTGTTGGAGTATTAGAAATTAATCTGAAGCTAAATGAAAATCAAGTTCAACGTTTGACGAATCAAATCGATTTGATAAACTCGATCTCGTCAACTCTTGAGTTATCGCAAGAAAAGGAACAGTCATGGTTGGTTCTTCATCTGGACCAATTAATTGAATTGTGCCATCAGCAAAGAATCAATATAGATAAACTGCTTGACAATGAAATTGATTCACAAAACTCATCCGTGATTGATGTTTCTAAAATTAAATTTACTATTTCACCACTACAAATCGTACATTTAGTCAATCAATATAATTTCAATATTAGAAAACTAATATTCATGGAACAAAACTTAAAGAATCAGAGCCAACAAACTCAACGATTTCGCTTGAATTCGTTGCAATTAGCTTATCTATTTGCTCATCGTCGTATTGTTAACAATCACGATACTGTAGGACTTACCATCAGCCACCTAATAGGCATTTATATGTTGCTTCACAAATCAAACGAAAATGATCAATTCTCATTGAATTATCAACAAATCAAACAACTAGCTTTGATTCAAAGTAAATGAAAAAATTGAATTCAGTCATACATTCTCATCTTGATTGATTTTAGATATGTCTATGGAACATTTCCATTCGTTATCTGGTTCCAAAGAATCGTTTCAATTAACACACAATCAATTGATTCATATTGCTATCGAAAATAAAATACTCCTGAAAGAAATAGTTTCCATTCCAAATAATCAAAAATCAAAAATACTCGATCTAAAACAACTCTGTGCGGTAATCAGTCAACATAGTCAATCAAGTATGATGCACAAGTCTTTTGATCGTCATATTCAGCAAAGTGTATATTTAAATGTTGAGCAAATATTTTCTCTTGTAAAATTTTCTAATATCGAACTCAGCCAATTGACTACGTGTACAACAGGATATATTGATGTAAATAAAATAACCACCACACTGTTTTATTTATTGAAATTTATTTATCTTCACAGAGAACAAAATTTCGTTTCAAACCAGAACAACTAGCGACACTATGGGATATGAGCATATCGATTGATGATTTTGAACGTCGTACATCGTTATCTCCATTTATTCTCAGTGATGAACAGTTTAGTAGTTTACTTGGTTCAATTACTACATTTGATCTTTCAAAAAATTTCAAGTTAACATCAGTATCACCATTGATTCAAACCAATGAATCTATTGATAATAAAGAAGTATTAACGGATAGAAGAAAACTGCGAAGCTCTACTCTTGCCGATCAACTAGCTGCTATGCATAAACGACTTCAATCAAGTATAAAAGCTCATAGTGACGTAGTTGGCACGGTATCAAAATCTATATTACAACGTCACCGTATTGAAAATACTCTCAATCGTGTTCATCAATTGAGTGTAAATTCTATTGATGAGATATCTACTAAAGAAATAGAAACTATGCCACCGTTGATAATCGATCTTCTCAAAGTAGACAGTATATCAGAAAATATTTATAATTCAATAAAACAAGATGAACCTGATAAAAGTGGTAACTTAAACAAGGTCATCGTTGAAGGGATTCAAACTGGTCAACTTAGTTTTTCTCAAATTTATAAAATTCAAACACAATTACTCACTCCAAATCTCATAGGTTTTCATTCTTCTTGTATAGCTTAATATTCATATGAATACTTCTTTCAGACGAATTTAAATCAGGCCATCTCTCAAAACATATCCTCGATGCATATAGTTCTCAGTCAGAATTGCAAATTACTCACCGAGTGCATTCATCGGCAGCACAATTGAATAGATTATTCTCTCAACAATCATCAAGCATTTCTCAGCTAGACACTACAATGGTACCAGTCTTGCAGCAAACAACAACACAACATATGCTCCCGTCTAATATTGTATCCAAGGACGATGATTTGAATGTGAAACAACAGATTGCATCTGACGAATACGGTCAGTAAAAACTACAATGATAACTTAGTTTATTAATATGAAAACTTTAGAGAAAAAAACTCAAACAAATCATCAAAATCCAATTATTGTTTTTTCTAAATCAACAAATAATCGACAGCAAATCCTACAAGATCTTCGTGATTGTCTAGATGATCAACTAGTCGAACTTAAAAAAGAATATGGTATTGAACCTGCTAAAGGTAATTGGTTTGTTTGTATTTCTTTCGTTCATGTTAGATTCTTTTGTTAGGTAAAACATCCATTCGACATATGACCAGTAGATTTAGAACGATGGCAGGCATAGACGAGCTTGAAACATTAATTGATCGACAAATAGATGAGGTGGACCTTTTAAATATTCTTAACGGTCATACAAATGATTTAATCAATCAAGCAAACATTGATTCAAACGAAAAAAATGTATTATTTAATCGCAATGCTGAACATCGACTAAATAGAATCAATGAAAGAATTGACTTGGTTAATATTCTACAAAATGATATTGAGAATAGAAGATTAAGACGTATGTAAAGTTTTGTTCGAAAACGATGTTTTCGTCAATTAGATTTTCTTTTTATGTAGGTCAATTGACTCCGGAAGAATTGACGGCATTTATTTTTGAAGATATTCACAAATTTGAACAGCTAACTAAGATTCATCTCAGAGATGATGATTTACGTATTCTATCTATGAATCGATTTTCATCACTTGAACAATCTATAACTCGTCATCTGACAGAATCGGAATATCGTTATTTACTTCAAAATGAGTTACCATTCGATTATATAGAACAAGCACTTCTTAGACGACCATTGACAATAGAAGAACGCAGCGAACAAGAAGAACTTACTCTACAACCATACCAAGATTTAGTTCCTGATAAAAATTCAATTGTATCAGGAAAATTTAAAGAGAGTTTAACACAAAAAAATGTTCAACTCACTCATGCTCAATTACAGCAAGTAAATATATTCTGATTCATATCTTTCGTGCTAGAGATATTGAATTCATCCATATCAGTCAGATATGAGCTGTTTGTTGTCCGGGATGCTTTCTATTACTGTGTCTAGATCTTGCAATATCGAGCGCAAGTTGTTGATGAATATGATATTATTCATTCAATCTCTCCGTCAGTGAAACTCATTGAAGATCAAATCAATCGTCCGTTAACAATTGATGAAAAGAAACGTTTAACACAAGATGATTATTCTATGATTAAACCAATTCAAAATGAAAACTACAGTTATATTAGTGGTAGAATTGAAGAAACTCATTCAATGACTACATCGCTTTTAGAGAATGTAAAAGACATTGAACTCGAGATTGGACGAGTATTAACAAACGAAGAGATTATTATGGTATTACATGGTGATATTATTGGTCTCGAACAGACGTTTAATAGCCGATTATCAATAGATATAATTAAATCGATGCGTAATAATCAAATAAATCGTAATCTAACTGATAAGCAAATTCGCGATATTCTCAATGGTATCGAGCAAATACTTGATCGACAATCGGTAAAATTTTCCTTCAGCAAACGCGATAATTTCCATAGAGTTCGTATGTGAGTGTTTCAAGCAATTTCGACAAGGACGGGACGGTCAAAATTTTAAAAAATCAACTTTCACGATACGCGCTTTGAGACAAAAAAAAGTAAAGAAGCTTTTCTAAATGATTGAAAGTTACTTCTGAACAGTGGTCGCACATTTATCTGTGATGCGACAAAAATATATTTTCTAAATGAAACGAATATTTTAATTTTTAAGACACCAACTGGGCGGTCGACTTACGAAGTAACTCAACTTTCACATACTTCTCCGATTGATGCTAAAGTTCAAGAATCAGCAGATGTTTTAAAACCTCATTTGACAGCAGATCAACAAATTGCGCAATCAGATATAAACAAGATCGAACAAAACCATGCTACTGATTTAACAATATTACAAGACGAATCTGATGAGGATTTATTCATCTTTCATCGATTAGTAAAACAAAAGATTTATTTCAATTTATCAGAAATTGAAACGGCTATAGGACGAAATTTAAATAGCAATGAACTAGCAAGATTTGCTGATTCACGTTTTGCTCATATTGAATCTGATTTGGGTAGATCGTTGAGTGATGTACAACGATCGAACTTACTCAATGGAAAAAAATTAACTATTGAAACTTTAATCCGTCGGCCATTATCTCCTGAAGAATCAGGTACTGTAGTATTCCTCTCCTACGACTCACGAAAGCTTTCTATCAGAACCCTTCTCTGATGACATCTATTGATCAACAGTAAAACTATCTCTAATATTCTGAATAATTTTCGTGTTATTAAACACTGTTGTTTCTAGGACCTCATCTTGTTGATCTAACAAATATTCAAAGAATTCTCAATCGATCGTTAACATTCGATGAATTAACTAACTTAGCAGGTGATCGTTTTGATGAAATTTGTAAAATACTTCAACGACCATTGAAAATCGAAGAACTAATTGATCTTCTAAATGGAAATTATATAAGCATAATAAAAATAATTGATGAAAAATTGAACAAAAAAAAAGACGAAGAACTACATGAATTACCTATTAATCGCATACGACACTTTGAAAGTATTCTTGGTAAGTTTCTAGCTATTATTTTCCTGGCTCATTGAACTATTAATATCGAATTTAAGATCGTAAATTATCTCATCGTGAATTACTACGCGTTGCTGAAACACGTTTCGAACCCATATTACGTTTGCTTAGTGATTTTATGAAGCCAGAACAAATTTTCGATTTAGCTTCTGGTCGTTATGATAAAATTGAAACATTTTTTAATCGCTCTTTGACACAAAATGAAAAATATGAATTAGAAAAAAGTCTCTTACAAACACATGTAAAATATCCGATTATGTTAGACGAACTTGAATATATTATTCAACGAAGATTAAATGAACCAGAATTACGAGCACTTATCGGCGATCAATATCATGATATTGAAAAAGGTTTAGGCAAAACATTATTAGAAAAACAAATACGAAATATTTTATATGAAAATGATGATCAATCATTAAATGAAGTTGCAGATCTTGTGGATTATTTCAAACGAAAATATCGCGATGATCAGAAGCGAACAAAATTTATTGTTAATCAACTGATTGAAAAATTAGACGAAGATTATAAGGATCATTCAATGGAATCTAGCGGAATAAAACATTTCAGGCCATTAACTCCTTCGCCATCCGTTCAGCAGAAACAATCTGATATAGAATTTCATCAAAGTACTATTGAATTGTTAGAACGATTATCAGATGATGTACGAAAACATCAGCCAATTAAGCGACAGGAGAGTTCAGTAGATGCACATTCATCAAAAATATTTGATGAGAAAAGTATACTGAGTTATGATGAATCAAAAACGTCACCCAATGACAGTCTTAGTTCTCGATCTATTCTTTCATATGATGGTCATGAAGTGAAATCAAGTCAAGCATTCAAAAATATTACCCGTATCGTCGAATCAATTGCTGATAAAGAATACGTCGAAGAAATGGCAACTGTGACCGATGCAATTACTGCATTTCAGGATAAACTACATAAACACGGTATTTCAGCTTACGTTAGACTTTGTGATTTTTCTGGAACTATTTTGCATATTGCATTCTCTTGCAACGAGCATATTTATTTTATCTAGATGATGGATAAGTCGTGATCGTTCTTTTTCTATTTCGGATCATCTATTTGATTCCTAATGCTTGTTTAAAGCAAGTATTTTGTTTTTCAATAGTTGATCGACCAAGCAGTCGTCAAACAGCAACAGCCTGGCTATCGAATCTTAACAAAGAAACAAAAGTTTCATATTTACCAGCCATTGAATCTATCGAGAAAAAAACAACGAATCAAAAGCCACAATCAAGTACTATTTCGAATGATGATGATTTATATTTGGGTTGGAAATTATTTAAAAGTATTGATCGGCCAGAATTAGGTTTAAAAGAAGAAAAACCACGCATGATTAATGTTAAACATATAGCACAGACATACGTAGTTGGTATTCCCGAAGAATATGCTGATACAAAAACAAAGAGTAAGAAAATTGCAAAGCTTCAATCATTCATATTCTCTGTAAATTGAAAAGTGATTGCAAACAAAATCTATCAAGGCAAATCGATTCGTCCGCGCCTACCCAAAACTCGAATTATTCAAGAAACAACTGAATTTGTTTCACAATTATTTCATTTGCCAATCATCAGTGATGCTACAGTAAATTAAAGATTCAGTTTTTGCGATGACGAATATCTTTTTGTTCTGTTCGGTAGCATTTTATTGTTCCATTTCGAACTTACAATGACATCATCGAACCTGTAGAACTATGCGAATCGGATATGATTGATATTGAAGATGATGAATTACAAGTAAGATGATGATTGATTGCACACCAGAAGAAGCTTAAGTTAGCAAGATTGAAATACATCACGAGCATCAAATCTTCAACAAACGCAGATCGAAATGCATCCATAGATCCTGCTGAACCCTTATAATTGATAGCTGCTCTTAAATAATCTTCACCCAAACCTTAAAAACGACTGGAGCCAGTATAATAATGAGATAAATTCTCACTACAGAGACTTTAGACACATTTCGACTTCTATCAACTTTTCTGATTACTTTGTTATGTCAAATTTCATTGCAACACTGTCGTTTGAATGTTTTGGAAACAATAAGATTCGAACGCTTTGCTCAATTTTTGAAGTACGAACCTATTAGACGAGCTCCTTTTGATATCGATGTTAGATGCGTGATTCGCCCGAAACACTAGAGTGGTATGAAGAATGTATTCAACGAAATGCTCAAATTCATGCTCAAATTCCTACTGAGTATCAACCATCGATTGTTCATTGCCATACGGGTCGTCAAATGATAATAACACCAGCTAAACGTGCTGAACAACGGAAAACATCGACTGGAGAGTCAATAGAAAAATCCAAAGAATTATTGGAAAGTTCAGAACCAAGATTATCGGAAGACAGATCTACACTCAATAGTGGTTTTATTCAACGTCTTAGTCAGCCAATGTTTGATATTCAATCAATAGAACATACATCAACTACTGTAACGGTAAATCTCTTTTGTTTTATTCTTTCAGAATAAATATCTCGTAAACAATAGGTAACTGATTTGATTATGCATACAGTTGCAACATCTCAAAAGTCAAATTTATTAGAAGCTTTAGAAGAATTATTCTCTCAAGAAAATCTTGATACATATCAAATAACTGAAAGTGATTGGCACGATCTATTCCTTCTATTGCTTAATTCATATCTTCGCTCGCATTCAATAAATCGCAAAGAAATTTTTCAACGGCTAACTGAAAAACTTCATGATTTAAGAAAAAATGAACGCCGACGTTCAACTGATTTTTATCCAAATATTTCAGTAGTACTATCACCAACTACAGATACAAGAAATACATTAATTGAATCTCCAATAGCCGAAAGTAAGAAAAAAACAACGAAACACTTGACTAAACAAAGTTTTCGTTATTATTTATCATAGGATTAACATCTCCATTTGAGAGTTTCAATAGTTTTATAAGTTCAAATGATTCAGAATATAATCAGACAGGTTTAACAACAGATCAATCAAGTATTAATACACCTGTAAAGAAAAATTCTTCTATGCAATCCTTGCCACAAAACAATTCCTCCAAAGCAAAATCGAAAGCAAAATTTCATGATCTCGTTGGTAAGAAAACGCAAACATCTATAAATAAAATTAGTCCAAGCCCAATCGAATATATCGCAAATGAAAATAAACATTCTTCAGTTTCTATGAAAAATCGTCGATATAAAATCACTGTGATACATAGCGATGATCAATGCAAGACACCAACACAAGTAATGTCTGTAATTTTACTTTTACGATAAACTTTTCAATTTGCATTCTAGTCTACTAAACTTCCGCCGATTGTAACAAAGAAAAAACCGATATCAAGAATGTTAATCGATAGTCAGCTACTATCGTCGTCATCTACAACTAGAAAATAAAATATTTTGTGCTTACCTAGTTTAATTTCTTATAAGAACATCGCCTATTGGGATTTTTTTCTTTGCCTCTTAAAAATAAAATTTCTCAGTTGTTACTAATAACGATAACAAAAATCAACGTTCATGAAATCGATGAAAAGTATATTTCTTTGAATACATTACATTTTTTCATATCACACTTTATTGATCAAGTTACTTGCATTTTTTTCAACGTCAAGTCGATTTTACTAATTTCAATGGATAAATTAGATTTCCATGACTATGTTGAACTATATAATATTTTATCGAAGTTTTCATCGTTTAACTTAACATAGAAAGAGAAATCGCTACTAGCGCACGCATCGATTTGTTTCAACAAAGAAACATCTTAGTAATATTTTGTCAAGTGATGATAACAATCAATATTGAAACTGCAATAATAGAACTGATAAGCATCGATATTCGATTGGATAGAGGGTTTCGGATTATGTACTTAAGGCTTACTATAGTTAATATCGTGCTGTAATACGAAAACTAAATAAAGCCTTTGTTAATAAGGTAGTCGACTAACTTTCAACTATAACTTATTTAAAAACTAGATATAATTTAGGAAATCTCAATTCCTGTTTCTTACTAAACAAAAAATGAATCAGCAAATTTACTTGTTTTTGTCGGCCATATAACTTCTCATGTTTCTTCTGTAGGAAGTTGGTTTGAATCAAATTTCATTTTGTGTAGGCACGATGTAGTAGAATATACAAGTAGCTTATTGAATTCTAAAAGCAATTACTAATATTTAATTTAATACTGTACTGATGAATTTCGACATATGAAGGCATTTTGTTGACAAATCGACGTGGATAAAGGATGTAGAAAAAGTGTTTTCAAATCGATGTAAATAAGTATCGAATTACTTGTGAACATTTTCTAACGAGAATGATTTGAAAAACGGAAGCGTAATTATTCTCAAAAACCCCTGAAAAACGTGGAACGAATTAAAATTTGTTAAAATTAATGAAAAAATGAAAGAGCAAGCTTTTCGTAAATTGCATAGTAAGATAATATGCGAATAAACACAAGTAATTCCAAAAATAATAATTTAAAAAAATTCGTAGATACAAAATCATGAAGTATTTTATCAAATATTCTCTATAATAAATAATGATTATTAATGTCAAATATCATTAAAAGATGTTCTTAAAAAAAGGCACACTAGAAAATAAAATATAACAAATGCTTTTTTTAAATTTCTATGGCATTGGTGCAGTAGCGATTGTACTACGTGGATGTTGTTCATTCTGTAGTTCGTCATATGATGGTAGTTTAGTTGCATCGTTATCAATGGTTGCTGTTGCTTCGCCGTAAGTCGGTGGCAAATCTGGTTTAAAATGCGCTAATTCAATAGTGGCCAATTGAGGTCGCACAAGAGTAGCATGACGATCTGCTGACGAATTATTAGCAGGACGAGATGACTTACAAAACATGAAGATCAAGCGAACAATGCCAATGCCAATAATAAAAGCAGCTACGACTATAGCAATAATTTTGATATTAAAATAAAAAGAGTCAGGTGTAATAGATTTATCAGTTGTTGATGATGAATATTGTGTTGTCGTGGATAATTCATCTCGTTCAAGATCAGATGAAATTCTTGGTTTAGAAGTAAAGTTATCCATTGATCTATAATATCGTTTTTGTTGTGAAATATTTATAATAGGAATCATTATTGCCTGTCCGATAAACATGAATAACAAATAGAAAAGTTGTTCATTGAATAGTAAAACAAAATGCATGATAATAAAATTCTACCGGATTAGCACGTTAAATTGTTTGAATTTTACGTTTTTTTCTCGTTTATACTTTATCCGATCTTGACGTCAAATGGTGTTCTGCCTGCGCATACGTCACTATCCTTCTGTCAATTCAGTATCACTTATTGACATAGCTCGATAAAATAAGTTGAGAGAAAAAAAACGACTGACTCAGACATAACAAAAAGAAAATCAGAATGAAATGAGAGAAAAAAAAGTAAGAAGACTTCGATAAATATTACCATAAACACAAATATTCGAGACGTTTTTTTCTTTCTTTACCGGCAGCTGTCTGTGGCACTTTCTTTTCATCGATATAATATAGAAATTCGAACGCTCGTATTCTTAAATCGGATTTCATTTTGCAATTATATCGATCTCGATAAGCCTGCAAAATACATGTGAACGGTTCTCATGGAAAAAATCAAGGTAAAAAAAGACAACTAAAAAATATATAAATCCATGAATATTCGTTGAGCTTTCAATTGACGCCATATTTACCTTTTTGTTTGGCACTGAACTTGTCCAATCTGAATTATTGACAATAAATTAATTCAATCAAACAGAAGCCAATTGATTTTCACAGAAAATTGTTACAAATTTCAATAAAGATGCAAGACTTTAATAAGATTGTTCTTTTTTTCTCTTTATAGAAACTTTTTATTTCACTACATGTTTTATTTCAAATTATTTTCTTTTAAATCTTTCATATTTATGTAAAACGTAGATGAACAAATTACACTTAGTTTACAAGATTTATGTTTGACTCCGTTTTTGTCGTTGTATATCGAACAACATCAACAAAAGAAGAAAAATATATATATATATATATAGAGAGAGAGAGAGAGTAGTTATTATGCAAATACACAATCGAGATTCGTACATTAACACGCTTTCAAACCCTGAGATAATAGGAAAAGATTGATTGACTAGTGAATTTTATTTTATTTATTTTTTGATGGTTTTATTTAATCAATCTTTTTCTTGTGTTGGTTCAGACAGAGAAATCTGATCTGATTTATTATTCGTAGTAGATTTGATGTCGTTCTCGATTGGTGCTAATTGTTTATCAGTATTGCTTGCATGTACTGGACGGCTTTGACGATATTGATGATAAATAGGCGTTCGATTGAATCCATTTGCTGACGATTGAATAAACGGTTTTATTGAATTATTTAATTGTGAAAAACGTGAATTATCATATTGAGATTGTAGACTTAATGCTGCTAATTGATTTGTTGCATATTGTATTGATGCTGAATTATTCGGCGGTATCATAAAAGACGGAGCTAAAAATAGTTCAATCAAAATAAAACAAGCAGACATGAATATTGAATTAGTACCTGGTTGAATAATTGTTGTTTGTTGTGTTTGAGGATGAGTTGGATATACATGAACAAAATTAGGTTGAGAATAAAGATTATTATCAACACCAGATGGCATGACATCGGATCGATAAACCTTAAATTGAAGGTTTATAATCAACAACGTAAAACACTGATTTTTATTCTTACGGGTACATATTGTTGTCCATCGAATGTTACTTGTTGTTGTGCTTGCTGCTGCTGCTGTTGTTGTTGTTGTTGTTGTTGTAAAGAATGTGTAGGAAATACATACTGAAATTGACCATTTGGTTGTTGCTGAATTAATATAGGTACTGGAATATTATTTCCATGTTGAAGTGTCGTTGGAGATATCATTGGTACATAGTTATACATTGGTGTGCCGGCTGTTTGTTGTTTGAAATTATGATCGATTAATTGTTGTTGTGGATAATATGAGCTAAATGTTTGCGGATACATTGGTTGAGCTAAAACAATAAGGAGATTTAATTAAGGTAAGTTTTAGGACCAAGAGAAATGGTTGGATAAAGTAACTATAAACTCATAGTAATACGCACGGAAAGTAGACCCTAGCAGTATCAATATTTAATTTTGTAGTAGTGATGAAATATATGAGAATAGCGCACTGATAATATTTGTCTCCGATAACAAGTATCGAATTCAAATTTCATCGTAATACTATAAGAGGATGATTCTTCGAAAAAAATAGAACATGCAAATTTCTACACCACGAAAAATGTGTTGAATTTTAACAGCAAAAATTTTATGTCCTCAATTCATACGATCTGAAAAGGCTCGTATTTGATTTTTCTCCATAAAAACTTTTTAAAGCTAGTCCATTGCTTTCTCCGAAATGCATAATAGACTGTATTTTACTATCCCCAATAGACCAAGATGAAAAACATATCTCGATAATGTGATAAAAATAGATCATTGCAACGGTGACTAATGAATTCAATGATTATCAATCTGCATTTTTTTCTATGCTAATCAGAATATATTTAAATAGATAAAAAAATCTACGAATCATGATAACTTACTTCTAGTATTGATTATATGAGTTGTGGGTTGAATGTTTGTTTGTTGTGGATGGTAATTTGTATTCACACGTTGTTGTTTTCGATTTATTTTACTCGGTGGTTGATTTGATATTTTATCGCGTGTTTCCGTATAATGATTAGGGCGTTCAAAAGTCGGTTTAGCTGTTGGTGCTGCTATTGTTGTAGTAGAGGGTTGTGGATTAGGATTTTTGTCATTTCGACGTGAAATACGACGAGTTGTATTTTCAATTGAAGAATTTAAAGTTGCTGTAGCACCATTAAATGATTCATCGACTGGAATATAGGTTTGAAATGAAAAACTGGGTCTAGAATAAATTATCAGAAGATTCATTTTTTATGTTGATAAAAAAAAAACTTTTTCTCATACATTCGAGTATTTGGTGTTTTAGTCACTACAATAGATTGTCCATTTTTGTCAACATTATGATCAAGACCAAAAAATGCAGCGACACGGTGAACAATCATTCGTTCATCTATATTTAAAAGAAATAATTTTAGTTCAAACCAAAAAAAAGCAAACTCTAATGAATATCTACAAGAATTCATTGCTTGAAATTGATGCGACGTTTGTTCTTCGTTTTGAATAAATTGTTGAAAAAGTTTTTCAAGTGTTAAAAGTAATGTTCGATCCTTGGGGTTATTACGTAAGGTTGCAGTTATAAAAGATTCAGTATCAATACCAGCGAAATCTTTATATGGATTTGTCGTATCAATGGATGATTCGTTGTTTATTGATGTATCATTTTCATCAATAGATAATGGAGCAACGTTTATTATTGTAGCAGTGTTATCATCACTTGTCGACAGTGGGTGGTCTTCGGTATTAACCATCTAAAATAAACAATCAAACGTTGAGTCTGTGTTTAACAAGTAAATGTCAGTGTTATAATTAAGGGTGAAGCTAAGAAACTGATCCACATGAGTCAGTTGTGGAAATTAGCATGAAATTTTTTTAGAGAAAGATGTTTTCTTCATAGTGCTAAGTTTGCACTCATATTTCTTCCTAGATCACACGGTAAAAGCAAAAACTGCTCATTGATTTCTGTTTTGACCATGCTTTTCACGATATTCTTCTTATATATGATTGATAAATAAAATGCAACTTTTCCTTTAGTTTGCAAAACTGGCCGACGCTGTCAAAGTAACACAAAAGATGATCTAAAGCGGCATGATTATATTGTTCTTCTACATCAAAAGCGTATTCAGAACTTCGAAATGAGACGCAGGCTGTTTCTTCCAGATCAATCCAATCGATGTTTGTCCTTGAAAATGCTTGTTAATTAAAAAAAGAAGTCAAATTGTCAAAACCAGGGGCCCATCTAAACGTACGTTACTGATAACACAATAGTCAATTTTATAATTCTTGGGTACGCATAGGAATTACATGTACACTCATTGTTACTTTAGCTTTTAATACAATCCACAGGTTCTATTAAACAAGTTAATGTCACCATGAGTGTCCCTTTGTTATGAATTTCGAACTCTACATTTTTAGTTGTTGCTTAGGCGACGCTCGTAGACCCTACAAGCATCGAAATATACTTGAATCGGTTATTTCCTGTTTCCTAGCAAATTTTCATTAATCATAAAATTTCAATAGTGCAATGTACATCTTTACATTAACCATTGAAGGTTTCTCTACAAACAAAATTTATTTCTCATCGTCTTCGTTTTAAAGATTTTATGAATTCTGCCGTGTAAGTGACGGTTTCACATCAAGGTCAATAAAACTGCTGTCGTAAATAACATTTCTTTATGACGATATGTGAAATAAAAATTCCCTTACATTCTCCGATTCCTGATTAGTTCCATTCTGTATAACATCACACTGTTCAGACGGTAAACTAACTTCTAAAAAAAACAGAAAAAAAACAAATAAATATTTATTTATTTAATTATTTTCTTTTTTCAAACCATCACTAATCTGAGTTGTTGTTGTATTATTATTTTTATCAGCTTTCGTCATTTGTATATTTACACAACACGAATCAACAATATCCGCCATTTAATTATTGTTTTGCTTGAAAGTTTTCTATTTTATTCTTAAGCACCATTAACGGTGAAAAAATATACAGCAATAAACATACGGATGAACTTTTAACTAGAAAAGAACGGAACAAAATTTTTGTTATTTATATTCAAATAAATTTTCTTCTGGTTTCCAAATAGTTCACCTGTACGTTCAAATACTTGAGTTAATTAAAAAAAGAAAAAGAAAACTAATATATATTCATAATGTTTAATAATTCTACTTAATAAAAATAGTTTTTTTTGTGGACAAAAAAAACTTAGATTATGTCTTCGTATTAATGTAAGCAAATAAACAGAATGTCAACAATACAGATTGAGAAAGTAAATAATTCAATTGATTACTTGAATAGATATCGATAAGCAATAAATTTATATTCAATTTTAATATAAAAATAAAAGATAATATTTTAAAGAATTTAAAATAATCAAGAAAAATTATTTTTATTTATTTTGTTTTGATAATAGAGGTCAGTGTTAGTCAATGTCATTTTCTGTCTGATGCAAGACATGGGGGAAACGTCTTTTCCCATTGCATCATCATTGACCACATCGATCTGTCGAAATTTTCACATATAAATGATGGAGTTACTTTCAAAAGCAAGCATACACAAAAGTAAGTATCATTGAATATTCATAGTTTTCGATAAATCTAATGAGTCATTTATTACTGAACTACTGCATAGGGCGTGGGTGTTTAGCACAGAACATCACTAAGTTAGTTTAATTTTGGAGTGTCAGAATAATACAAATATCATCGTGGTAGGAATTTCATATCGCTATCGACTCTGTACTTAACATGAATATGATATTTTGCAATTGTAGTACTAAAAACCATAGAAAGATCCTTTTTCAAAAACTAACACTGGTTTAAATAGAGCCGATTCGAATGAAATCGAAGAAAAAGAAGAGAGAACATATTTATGACAAGAGACATCTCTTCTGCCACAGCACCGATAGAATCATTAGAAAAGTAAGTCTCGAAATATATATATTTTCAAACTTGTTTGAATATTATTTGTTCACCATTAAAGTTAATCGATGTCAGATAAGGTTTTATCCCCCTATTTAAGTTTTTTAGTTTGCACCAAGAAAAACGATGAATATATTTTAGTAGATTTTTTTCAGATTAATTTCCAGACAAAACAATGACTACGATAACTAGTACAAGCGATGATGTAAGTTAAACATTTTTTAAAGATTTTTATGTTTTATAAAAGAATCTATTTTTTAGGCGTTGTTCAATATGAACAAAAAAAAGAAAAGTAAAAAATCACTCAAAGTGAGTCAACAAGTTGAAACAACAATTACAAGAAACTCTACAGAAAATGCGATTCAAGAAGAAACTGATACTATTCCTACAGTGGCTGAAATTGACCTTAACTACGAATATGTAAGTCTTCTTCTACATCCTCATATGAACTATCTGTAGATCACTGAATTTTATTCATGTGACTTTCGACATAATGTATATTAATCTGTTCTATTTTTTTCCACTATAGTTACTCAATCGAGCATTTGATATTATTCGTCAGAAGCATCCTGAACGGTTTAATCAAGGTAAAGTCGTAGTCGCTCTTCCACCATTACAACTAGCACGTGTTGGTACTCGGCGTACAGCATTGCTAAATTTTGGTTCAATATGTACAATGTGAGTCATTCGATAGTGAAGCTTTTTTTTTATAGACAAAATGAAATATCATTATTTATTTTTTAGACTCAAACGACAAGAAAAACAATTACATGATTTTTTTCTAGTCGAATTGGGTACCACGTAAGTAACAAAAAACAAAGTTGCCACCTTTCAATTAATTTTTTTCTTCTTCACTGTTCTCATCTAGAGCTAATATTGACTCAAAGCATGCATTGATTATAAGAGGACGTTTCCAAACAAAACAATTAGAACATGTCCTTCGTTCGTTTATCAGTAAGATTATTTCATAGAAAATTTTCTGAGGGTATTTATTTCTTGTTTTGTTATAGGCGAATATGTCTTTTGTAAAACATGTCGTTCTCCAAATACGCTATTACGAAGATCCGATGGCTTAACTATGATCAATTGTAATGATTGTAACTCACAATATTCTGTTTCCACTATAAGAGCAAAAGCTACCGTGAATACTAACAAACATTGAAAAGAAACTTTAATATTAAGTGTATATATATATAGATAGATAGATATCATATATTTCGAATATGATACATAAGCTTTTGAATGTAAACATTGTTTCGTATGTGTTCAATTGTGATTTGTTTTTCTCAGACTCAAAGTTCAAGTTTTTCTTTTTATATTTATTTTTGGAACTTAAAATAAACATTTAATTATTTATTTTTTTCTCGTCTTAATCTAATTTATAGGAATTATACCACTCAAGATTGATGAATTGTGAAAAACATAAGCTTTTATGATGATAAATGATATATGTTGTTCTATGAGATAGTTAAAAAGTAATTACTAATGTTTCGCATTCATCACATGAAGTAAAAGACCTTTTTAGAGAGTGTCACTAACGAAATATCCTACAAAAGATATATTACAAGTATACGCATAACTTATCATTTTCAACATGATGAATTCAGGTGCTATGAGATCCAGTAGATATTTGATTTTATGACTGTTCTCGATTGCATCAGGCTTGAAAGCAATCACAATGCCGAGGATTTGTATTCTCGTGAACTATTAGACTTCGATTTTTCCTCACTCATTTTCAGATGAGTAAGTAAAGGATCAAACTTTTGGCTACTATCAAAAGTACGGTGCACCGACAGATGAGCCCCGACATTTGAGCTCCGACAAATGAGCCCCCGACAATTGAGCCTCCCGACAGTTGAGCTCCCGACAAATGAGCTCCAGACATTTGAGCTCCAGACATTTGAGCCTCATGAGATTGAAATTTCATCGATTCAGTATAGAACACACGAAATTAATATTGGATCACTTAATTCACTGGAAAATATTGCACGAAAACATGCGAAATCTTTTTAATGGTATTGATGACTGGCTATATTTTTCGTGGCTAAGCCAATCATCTTTACAGAAATGAGCAAGTTTTTCGAATTATATTTCTTTGATTCATAAAGGTTTCATCATTCTTGCTATATTTTTCTACTATTATAAGCAATGTCAATTGTAAAATCTTCGAAAACCTTAAGGGTGTGGGTGTATATAAGCAAGAACTATACCTACGCCCTCAAGATTACAACAATTAGTTTCTTCTTTTTATATCATAGCAAGAGATGTGTACTTTAAACGCGCAAGAGGTTTGTTTCATTTTTGATGTTGCTGTTAAATTTATTCAAATAAACTTTTTTTTGTGAGGCTCACCTGTCAAGTCACCCGAAAATACAACTCAGTGTACATTTTTTTTCTTGATTCCGTTCTGATCTAGAGAACTAAGAATTCAGGCCGAAGCCCGATAGGATACGATGTCAAGACAAAGTCATATCTTGAGCATGCATATTGGGATATTACAGACATTTGAGTACGAATCTTTGAACTGATCTTAATATTTGAAAAAAATCTAGTTGCCATCTTTATAATTAATACAACTGAGGTAGGAAAATGTGATTTTTCTGAAATTATTGCAACAGTCCTCGGTAACACGTCTTTAGGCCGTTGCGACGCTTGCATCTAAAAGATCATTAAAGAAAACAAGATGCTTGCGTTTGATTATCTTCTTTCGTATCCTATTTTATACTCACATAGCATAGGAATTGCTTAGAAAGCACATGTAAATAGTACAAAACAGAAAAAGAAGAAAGCATAGTTAACGAAAATAACACATATGCATTGCTTCACGGTTTTTATAAAAAAAAAGGAAAATATTTTACAACAATTGACTCTTACACCAAACATCTGACACTCCGAGTATTCCATTTATGTTCATCACGATAAATACATTCAAGGAGATAATTTATGAAACCTATGTTGTTTTGTAAATCCAACGAATCTCCAAAATCGAGTATACGATAAAACATGACCGATTAATATAAATAAAAAAATGCATAAAAACGTAATAAATAAACAAAACAAAAATATATTCATATTTGTAAAAATAAATTTCGATGAGTGATTTGAAATATTTGGGCCAATCAAATCTTTATATACATTGGGACAAGAGGTCTCAGCTATTTGAGCAAACGGTGACATGATTTCGATTGGCAAATTCATTGTCATATGATGAAAATAATGTATCGAATAAATGCTTGAATTTTTCAATAAAAAATCTACGTTTTCTGTTGAATAACGAAAAAATTGTGGAATTTGCTAGAATAACACAAACAAAAAAAAGTTAACATACGGATAATAAAAGCTGTTAGCGTTTGTGTTTCGCTTTTTGCCGAAAGAAAACTAACAACATACTTGATAAGATATCGGATAGAATACATATGATGGATGTATATCAATTTCAAGACATTTGCCTTTCTCATGAATACGCAATCGGTGTTGATCGCAAACATTTCTCAACACTTGCGTCAATGCCAATGGCCCAAGACAATTCCAACATAGGGCATTAAATTTATTTTCAATCGATTCTAATTGTTTTTCCATTTGCAAATCTAATACTAAATGTTGCCGTTCAAAAGCTAAAACAGCAACATTAACACCATTGTCAGTTTCAAGTCCCACTGCGTTTGAAAATATCTGAAAATTTTTCAATGGTATTATGTCAAGATCAAAATAAATTCCACCATATTTATATAACAGTGTGGTACGGATAAAATCGCTCATGTGTGAAATTGCAAAATAATGTATGAATTGTGTACGTTTAGTTTTATTTAATTTAATTAATGAAGTTCCACGATAGATTTCTTGTTCATCGAAGTGTGTAAAATGAATATTATTATACGAACGTAAATGAAGGTATGAGCCTTTTTTCAAATGAATATATTTACTACGCATAAGAACAAATATCAAACCATTCGGATGAAGACGTGCAGCTGCTTCTATTGAACAAGCATGACGAGAAATAATATCTTCGTTTTTGGATGTTTGAACAAAAAATATTTTTAAACTTGTTTTTATTAATTCCGATTCTTTTTGAGAAATATTTTCTAGTAATAAATAATCTTGAGAATTTTCATTTAAATTTCTCATAGATGCATCATCAAATTCAACAGTAAATATGTTAAATATACCATATAAACTAGCTTTTGATAGTCGACTAACAGATAAACAAACAATACCGAATATAACTATTTACAACCAAAAAAACAACATTATTTCGACTTATTTTAACAGAAACTTACTGATAAAGATGATACACCATTTTAAAATATTCGCCAGTCTAGATGAAGAAAATTTGTTATTCATTTTGCCTTAAAAGTTTTCTAATTCAGATCTAAACAGCACTATTCCAGAGTGTATTCGTCTTATATCTAAAATATACTTCTATGCACACTTTTTATAAGGTAATACGTTGATAACTATTACGCATTAACTTATAATTATTAGTTATTGTGAAGCATTTTTTTCTCTTTTCATTCGTGTGATGCTGAAACGTTTTCAAGTCGTCTAGTCAGGAGTATAGTGCTAACAAGAAAGGGTTTATGATTATAGCCTCTATCGCCATACGCAATCCACTTGATGATTCTCAATGACCGTAAATTACATTTCATTATAGGATAGTAGAAACTGCTAACGATGTAATTAAAAAAATTGATATATAAGACAGGGAATTAAGAGTGATGATGACAAAGCAAAAAAAGGGTCATGCTGTTATTAGTGTAAAAAATCTTTGAGAATATATTTTAAGGAATAGATGCTGAACGTTCAAGAATTCTTATTCCTTTTCTTTTTAAAGATCTATCCAGTGTATCTAAATCAATATATTCATTATTATTTATAAACTTGAAAGTATCCTCGAAAGATCAAGCTCATATAAATCACACGTCTAATGTGCACTCATATTTATAGGAAAAAAAATTATAATGACGAGGATACTCTCTGCAAATTAATTAGTTTAGGTTCTCTGAGCTCTGCTTGTCACAAAAATTTTACTTATATGTAAGGCTTTTGTCATCGAAATAATTCAACTAATGCCTCTATTCTTTTCCGTACTAGTCTACCGTGGTAAATTCATTAAAAAAAAGATGAAGAAGAAGAAGAAGAAGAAGAATGAGATGTCATTCAAAGGCATAGGATTATTCAAGCGAAGTACGTAGGAATGCTGCAGAACTGCAGTTGAATACATTAATAATATCGCTGTGCTATGTCTTCTTCTATTATCTTGACATGTGCAAAAGTAGAATGTATATTTTGAAAAAAAGCTAGAAGATGACTATTTTTAACATTTAAAAATAATATTTTGTTGAACAGCAAGCGCGATCTCGTGCTGTTTTGTTCCTATATGATTCTTATACTTTTCTTTTCTCGTTATCAAGATGATTAATTGATAATTAGACTCATGTTTTCAGCAGGATGAAGCTCGTAGAGTAAACGGATTTTTTTATTCTGACGGTAACTCTCATATTGAGTTTTGTCGCACTAAATACTTTCAGCTCTAATGACTCTCATACAGTCAGATTCACTTATGAAGTAGCTGAGTCTTGTAAATATTAACTGTCATAACTTGAAAGGTATTTATGAAGTATAGCTATTAACCTTTTACAGAAAGCTTCAATCTGATTGATGGTCATCGTCAAAAATAAGAAATGTGACACTTATTATAAGACCATAATATGTCGTCATATAAAAAGACGCAAAAAGAAATAAAAACAGAAAGGAAATAATCTTTTTCGTTTCTATTTTCGAATATTTTCTATTTGAAACTGATCCAATACTTTATTCTTATTTGTCTCTTATATGCGCTTCATCTCATTGTGCGAAGAGCAAAACGTTAATTTACTTGAATAAAAGTTACTTTTAAAAAAAAATATCGGCTCACCTAAATTTAATTAAAACCATAATTGATTATAATATGCTCGTTCGATATCACATAGATGTTTGTTAATGTTAATATAACGAAGAGAACTAAGTCTCTACAAAGAAAGAATACTTTTTTTTTCTACGTAGGATCAAATTGACATAGAACATTTATGAAACATACAAAAAGTAAAAGTAACGAACTAGAAAAAAATTATTCAACAGCCACATACCAAAAATATGAAGTATGATTGTATATTGTAAATTCTAACGTACTAATTTTTATTCCGCGCTTCAACTATTCGATGTTAATGCATGAGAAAATTCACATACAAATTGTTCTGAAAGATGTCTTGCATAGGATTAATGTGCAAAGCATGTTCCTTTCAGAAGAATTTAAATTCCTTGACAACGAATATGACAGAAAATGACTAGATAAAAAATAAAACAAAAAACTACTTTTTTTCCTGTTTCTCTGGCTTCGGCCTATTGTACTTCTACCTCTTCTTCTTTTTCTTTAGCTCTTCATCTGCCGTCTCTGATATAACTCAGCTAACCATTATGCCACTTGGTATGTCTTTGCTAATGTATATATACATGAGGAGAACACAAACAACATCTTATATTATGCCCGTTCTATACGTAAAACAAGATAAAAATAGTAAAAAGTTATTATCGTTAAAGCACAAGCGAGAAAAAAGAAATAATCACAATAGAGGAACATGAATCTAATACGAGAGAAAAATGATTGAATTAATTATATAATTTATAGAATATAGAACTCAAATATTGGAATAGATAATTAGAAAACAAATTCACACATTAACTGTGTCTTAACAATCCTTCCGAAACTTACCACATAGTTTTTTTGTATTGCACGCAGGATAAATCCGTTTTTTATTGGCTTACAGACAGAATTTATCTGAAGAAATAAAAAATAAATACTTGCTATTTGCGTTTAATTAAATGAAACGAATGATGTTCGTTTTCATCGTGTATGAATTTTCACTTGTAAGCTTGATACTGTCACCGCCAGCATGATACCGTTTCAATCGAGATTTTGAGTGACGGCGTATATATTCGTTCTATTTTTATTCTTCATAATATTAAGCATATTTTCACCGTATTTTCTGAGCAAATAAAAAGAAATTCTTTCATAAGGACATAAATATTATGAAAACAATCATTTTTGTCAATACTACGAGTTTCATATTAAAATAAATACAAAATAAACGGAAGAAAAAGAAGCGAATCTATTCCTATGCCGTAAGATGTAAAAAGAACTCATTGCAGGAGAATTTTATTTATCCTAACAGAGCAAATACTGGAGAATAATGAAACTTCTTTTGCGCCTGGTCTACTTGCTGATCCTTTTTCATTAGGCTTTTACCAGGGGAATAATTGATCTGATGATGAATTAGAATGGCAATCAATATTGACGTAGTATTTATACAAAAAAATCATTTCGAGTATACTCATGGTAACAATCTTTATTGCAAAACCTTCGAGTGGAAACGAAAGGAACAAAAAATAAAATAAAATATTTTCTACTTAAAAGATGATCAAAACGCATGAGAACACGCAGAATGGATACGAGGAGATTGAAGAAAGAGAAAGAATAAATCTTGTTTTATTTCTTATACTTATAATTCTCGAATGAAAAAAGTCAGCAGTACTTTATCATTTTACCTCAGTACCATATGTGCTTCCCTTTAGATAAATGTCGTTCGAGCTGAACAAATATACTTTCCATCGAAGAATTCACCGCTTACGTACATGATCATACCAATTCGTCACTGCTAGATCTCAAATTCTATCTGATTAAGATTAGTTGGTGCCTTGGACCACACACATGAAACTTTCTTATTGCACACTTTGCCTTGTGTTCTGAAAATGGATGATATCTTTTCTCTATGAACGGAATCACAGAAGAAAGTCATATCCATGGCATATGTTATTTGATTTTCTATTCTCTCTAGATTATAGTGCTAGATAAAGCTGAATACATTTTGGGATTTACATATAATATATACTAACCAGCATCTGATATCTATAATCGAATCCATGTGTATTTTATTATCGTTGAAATTACTTCGTCAAAACTCTCCTATGCTTCTCTAGAGTGAATACTGGGGGAAAATGAATTAAACAATATAAAATCCATGCTACAAGACTTCCGAAATGATTCGCGATTACGATATTATCAAAGACACCAGACGGCTTGAGAAAGTTACCAGCAGCCCTTTCAAAATGTCATCGATTCATAATCCAGAGAAAACCAAATATTTAAAATTCGCTCAAAACCACCAAAAAAAAATATTAATATTCGGCATGTAAGCAAGTAGCCATCTCCTGACGAGAAACAAAAAAAAATATTTCAGGTGATTTATCGTTGATGGCCATGAATAATTAAATTATTTAAAAAAAAGAGTTTTCTGTTCATTATAAAATTATAAAACTAAACTTGGAAGTGTTTACTAATGCGAAAAACGGCAGATAAGAAGAAGAAGACATAAAATAGAAAAAGTGCTGTTTCTTTTTTCAACGTTACAAATTGTCATCGATCACAATGGGTTGAAGTAAACATATTTCAGAGATTCTTCTTGTTGTTATTAATCATATTCATTAACCATAAATAACCTTTGCGTTAAAATATTTGTGTACAAAAAAACAGAAATAAACGACGCCGAAAAAGATCTGACATTCATCTGTTCATATTAAAAATAAATCACAGATTATTATCGATCCAATGAACGATATGCGAACCTAAGCTAGCAAAGCCACTTGAAATCCGAAGTGAATATAAACTACTGCCATAATGGCTAGTAGAGCCAGAATTTGAATAATACTTCGTGGTATAAGGATCTGTTCGAATACCATCATAGCCCGAATAATAATTGTAAGCAGATGCGGCCACATAATTATTCATAGCATTTGCCACCCTATAAAAATGTTGTAACTTATAAGGATCCATAAGTCTTCTAGGTACCGTCGAGTAATATAAATGAATATTAACAATCAATACATAAAATGCGTATATCAACACATTCCTTTATATAGCTGCACAATGTCTACGAGATACTTGCCATTAAAGCATCACTAGTAGCTTGTCGGGTACGGTGGGCATGATTAATTAAGGGTCTCTGACGTGGCCTTTCTTCCTCATTTGTAGTCATCTGTATCGATCAAGGGAAAACAAGGGGCATCATTTTGTTTGCCGTATCGTACATACGTCCTTCGAAAGTACACGAAATAAAGTCGTACCTCAATGAAAAAAATCTACAAGTAAGACTATTAAATGGCAAGAAAACATTATCTGTTTAAAAGCAAAGTACTAACATTACTATAATGTTGTTTTTGTTGGACAACATGATCAACATAGAAACAGAGTTTTTTTCCTGAATTTATGACTTACTCCTACGTTAAAGAGAAACATTATTTTTTTATGTACAATAATTACGTGCTTACATACACTCAACTATGTTTGACAACAGATTGGATCAAAAGTAATACTCTTTCATCAAGACTTTTTTGTTTAATAGGCATATTAAATTGTTTTATGAAAAAAAAACATTTCATATATGTTTTTTTCGAGAGCATATACGATCGGTCGCTCCAGCGAAATATAATTTCTAGGTTATTTTTTGTGATGAATACTGATGAGCGTAACCTTATGCAAAAAACGTAGTCTTCTTTTTTTCTTTCAAGAACGAGAGATACTAACACTTAACATTATGAAATCGATTTTATTATTATTTTAGTTTATATTATCTATTTACTTCAATTTTATGATCGTAAAGTCAGTTTGAAACATTGATTACTTTCAGTATCGAAAACAAAATTGTTAGTGTTATCGTATAATCAGATGATGAAACGCTGAAATAAACCGAATGCTAAAAAACAACGATTATTAATCAACAGAAATAATAAATTATTTCTTACTGCAGTGATATTTATCTCATCTAGATATTTTTTAATTTAACGGAAATGTCTCTTGCAATTTTGAGATTGGGTTTAATTCTTGTCGATAGCGTTGACGATGGTTTTTTTTTCATTAGCGAAAAATAAGAAACCCTCGGTTCGCTCATAGAATCTATCAATATGCATCTAAACGAAAGAAAAATACCGTTTTGTATTAGACGGCAAGCAATAATGTCAAATTTATTCATTGTTTTAGTTCAGTGAAGTCGTCCAAAACCTAATAGAATCAAGGACGCCAGATCTATGATTATTTCTTTAGTTCTATATTCAACTATTGATTTCATCAAATTCAGTATCTTCCATTTTCCAATATCATTCTTCATTTAGTCAATTAGAATATATGTTGGAGGGGAAATTAAAATCCAGGGAAATTAAAAGTTCAATCTCACCTAGGGCAAATTAAAATTTTTTTATTTCTTAAATAATTTTCGATTTTTCTGAAATAGGTAAAAATGAATATTCATCTTGAGGTCTAGGCAGAAATGTCTGTGCGAATGTCCATCGTCGCTGTGGGTGTAGTTGTACAAAGTCAGTTTGAATGCACAATATAAGTGCGGGTGCGGGTGAGGGTGAGGGCTTGATTAGTACGGGCTCACATCCTTCCACACTCACACTCACACTCACACCCACATATAGACCCACATCCACCCACACCATCACACAAACAGTACATTTTTACCTATTTCAGAAAAATCGAAAATTATATAAAAAATACAAAAAATTTTAAT